TGAGGGGAGTAGCACAGCTGAGTAAAAGGTCACTGCCACAGGAGCTGTCAGCCGGATGGACTTGACCTCGCAGGGGCCAGAAGCTCTATATCAGCGATTTTCAACCTTTTTCATTTCATGGCAAACTTACCCTAATTACTAAAGTTCTGAAGCACGCCAAAAAATACATTTTTTGCTGATATGACAAAAAATAGGTGTAATGTTGACTCATTTACAGTGGGCAACTATTGTGTTGGCTGTTGTCATTTTTTTTTTTAAATTTGACAATCTAAGGGAAGAGGTCAGTGTCCCTGACTAAATAGTCAGGTATTGTATGTTTGTTTGTTTTGTTGGGTTTTTTTTGTTGTTGTTGTTGTTAATCTTCACATGAGGATATTTTTTTCCATTGATTAAAAGAGAGTGGAAGGGAGGGGAAGAGACAGAGAAAGAGAGAAACATCGATGTGAGAGAGACATTAATTGATTACCTCCTGCACGCACCCCCACAGGAGCTGTGGATCGAGCCTGCAACCAAGCTACGAGGTATGTGCCCATGACTAACATCAATCCCAAGACCCTTCAATCTACGGGCCAATGCTCTACCCACTGAGCCACAGCGCCTAGGGCAGGTATTGCAGGTTTAAAAAATCTTGGGCACGGCCGTTGAAAATCACTGGTATTAAGTTGCTGATAATGCCCAGGGTTTTCTCACACACCAGGTAGGGAAGGGGACGCTCTTTCACTCTATGCTTGCTCGGAAAGTGTTTCCTTCTCTGTTGTTACTTCTACAGTCTTGCTCTCATTTCCTCTATAATTCACTGCAAGCGTCAGCTGGCTTTGCAACCATGCGATGATGCTTCTCACACTTGAGCCTGCACCAGAACTCCCTGAGGGCTTCAGAAACAGGGTGGGCCTCTCTTCCAGTTCCTGCCGCTGTAGGTCTGGGGTGGAAACTGAGAATTTGCATTTCTAACAAATTCCTGGCGCTGCTGCTGCTGCTGCTGCTGCTGCTGCTGGTCAGGGCACCACACTGGAGAGAAGGACTGGCTTAGATAAACTCCGAGACTCTGCCCTAGCCAGTGCCATCCAATCACTGCACTCCTGTCTCCCTGTGGTTCTGAGGAGGGCTCCTCTCAAGGCTGTGGCTCTCCGTTCAACAGCCAAGTAGGCACAGGGAGCTTCCAGCAGAGACTGTGGAAGTCAGCCTGCTAGCAGCGCTGTGCAGAGGGCACTGAGTCTCAGGCATCTAGTCCCAAAGTGGATTCCACGTCTGTCCTTGGGTTTGTGCTATGTCTGCACTCCCCGCAGTCGGCCTTGAGCAGAAGTCCTGGGACCCCAGAGCAGCCTTTGCTGAGCAGTTCTCCCAGCCGACCTCTGACCCAGGAAGCCAGCTCCCTCCAAGGAGACCTCAGTCACAGCTTGGGTGGGGGAGGCATTTATCTGATGCAAGAACTTTGAGGGCAAGTCGGACAGGCAGCCCTCATCTTAACAACTGAAAAATAAATGGAACGTAAGGTTCATTTCAAGTTCCTCAGAAGGAAGGTTGTAGAAATCACTGCAAAGATGTAAGTTGGTTTCCATTGAAAAGAACATATATTAGATTAGAAATCACAGTTATTATTTCTCAAAGGATTAAGTGGAAACCTATTCTGGTCCTCATGACATTTGAAATTTCCCAGTAGTCTTGCCATTTAAGAGGAAACCATGAATACTCTTCGGCTCTTGTAATTCACAGTTCAACAAGTCCACAGTTTTCTAAGCTTCGGGTGAGTTTCAACAGGGCAATGGGGCCCTGCACTGATCTCTAAGTGCTGCCCTCTTGTGGTCGCCTGAACACATGCCGCTCGTGTTCTGGAGTCTGCACATCTACTTCTTCAAATCAAAGGGAACAGAGCACAGGAACTGACTGCTCCCACCAAAGCAGGAAAGGTGCTGCAGGTTTGCCACACTTAGATGCTTCCAAAGGATTACAACCATTGCTTTTTAAATATGTATTTTTTATTGATTTCAGAGAGTAAGGGAGAGGTGGAGAGAGACAGAAACATCAATGATGAGAGAGAATCGTTGATTGGCTGCCTCTGCACACCCCTTAGTGGGGATGGAGCCCACAATCTGGGCATGTGCCTTGACTGGGAATTGAACCCTGACCTCTGGTTCATAAGTCGATGCTCAACCATTGAACAAGCCGGCTGGGCACAACCATTGCTTTAATGGCTGTTGCTTTATCAATGTTCTGTGCACAGAAGAGGTAAGAGAGAGTGACGACCTCCGCATTCGCTCCTCCTGCCTCTCGCCCGGCCCGCCCGCCGCCCGCCGCCGCGACACCGCCAAACCCGTCCCTCCTGTGCCAGGCACTGGTTGGCACCATGCCCTACCAATACCCAGCGCTGACCCCGGAGCAAAAGAAGGAGCTATGTGACATTGCTCGCTGCATCACGGCTCCGGGCAAGGCCATCCTGGCTGCAGATGAATCCACTGGGAGCATTGCCAAGCGACTGCAATCCACTGGCACTGAGAACACCGAGGAGAACCGCGCTTCTGCCGCCAGCTGCTGCTGACTGCCGATGACCGAGTGAATCCCTGCATCGGGGGTGTCATCCTCTTCCATGAGACACTCTATCAGAAGACAGATGATGAGTGTCCCTTCCCTCAAGTTATCAAATCCAAGGGTGGTGTTGTGGGCATCAAGTCAGACAAGGGCGTGGGTATCCCTGGCAGGAACAAATGGCGAGACTACTACCCAAGGGCTGGATGGGCTGTCTGAACGCTGTGCCCAGTACAAGAAAGACGGAGCTGATTTTGCCAAGTGGCACTGTGTGCTGAAGATTGGGGAACACACCCCCTCAGCCCCTGCCATCATGGAAAATGCCAACGTTCTGGCCCGTTATGCCAGCATCTGCCAGCAGAATGGCATCGTGCCCATCGTGGAGCCTGAGATCCTCCCCGATGGGGACCATGACTTGAAGCGCGTCAGTATGTAACTGAAAAGGTGCTGGCTGCTGTCTACAAGGCTCTGAGTGACCACATCTACCTGGAAGGCACCTTGCTGAAGCCCAATATGGTCACCCCAGGCCATGCCTGTACCACCTTCTTATCTGGAGGTCAGAGTGAGGAGGAGGCATCCATCAACCTCAATGCAATCAGCAAGTGCCCCCGGCTAAAGCCATGATCCATGACCTTCTCCTACGGCCGAGCCCTGGAGGCCTCCGCTCTGAAGGCCTGGGGTGGAAAGAAGGAGAACCTGAAGGCTGCCCAGGAGGAATATGACAAGCAGGTGTGGGGGAGGACAGCCGGCTCCACAGGAAAGGAAATGGCAGGGCCCAGGTCCACAAGGCAAGCGAGACATCCCTGGACTCTCCCGAACCACTGGGAGGAACTGAAGGGGGCAGAGTGCCTTCCCCTCTGTGCTGGAGGGATCCCGTGCTACTGATGTGACCTATGTGCACCCACAGGCTGGTATGTGGAGATGGAACGTGGATTTCGGGATTTAGGAAGAATTAGAGGAGGTGCCCATCAATGGATGCTTTACTCTATGCTGGCCCTGCTGCCTTTAGAAATGTGTTTAACTTTATTATTAGACAAACTTCAAGCACATACAAAAATGGAGGAAAGAGTATAATGAGGTCCCATTAGCAAATTATAACTACATCACCAATCCTGTTTCCTCGGCCCCACTTCCTGCCAATGTTATTTTGAGGTAAATACCAGATTTCTATGTCATTTTGTCCATAAATACTTCAGTATGCATCTAACAGATAAGGACTTGTCTTTGAAAAAACAACCACAATACCATTATCACATTAAAAAATGAATGTCTTTAATATCATCAAACACCAGGCCGTGTTCAAATGTCCATCCGTCTCATAAATGTTATATGCTTTTTTAGTTTGTTTTAGAATCCAAGTTAGTAAGGTCCACGCAGGCTGTAAATCCTCAACTTCTGTGTTGAATAATGTTTTGAAACAAAATCTAGAACAAAACCGAACTTCTCTATCCCAACTTTGTTTATGAAATTGCAGTCGTGAGGAGGGTATTTTTTTTTTCCCTTATAAAAAAGAACTCCCGGAAGCTATGTTAGTAATTGCAAAGCTATTTCCAAAGGCCCGGGTTTCTAGCCTCATAACTGGAAGCACTTGGCGGTCTGAGTGCCCAGCAAGGTTGGCAGGCGAGTCATTTCCCGCTGGGGACCTTCTGGATTGCCGCGTTCCTCCGGTAAATGCCTCCCTGTCTCCTCTGAGGTCTAAGTCAGAGTGTTCATGTGCCGAATCAGCCACCAGGGGGCTCCCGAGGAACTCGATGAACTTCAGAGATCCCCCAAAAGTTAACCCACCTTTGTGCGTTTTATTTGCTTTTTATTACAGACTGAACTCGCCAGGGTGCGGCTTGTCTCCTCCTTCAGGTCCAATTCTGCCCGCAGAAGAGACCGGGCCTCAGGGAGATGTGGCTTGTTCCCCGAGGCTGGCTGGGAAAGGACATGGTGAGCTGTCCATCGCTCTGTCCAAGGATTTGAGGTTTGTAACCCCTCGTCCCTCAGTGGTCCTCCCTGAATAGCCACGTGATGGCAGAGAACATACAGAGGGGGTGAGGGGGAGGGAGACAATATGAGTTAATAAGCTCCCTGTAGCCTTATGATTTTTATTAAATTTTCGATTATTGGGGACACAGAGTGTTGCTATAAGCATCATTGGACATGTAGGTAGGGGTGGTTAACGTGAAATTACACGCTCAGGAGGAAACCTGGGCCTCCAGGTGCTCCATTTGGCCTCACCAGTCCCTCCCGGTCTCTAGGTCTCAGTGCTGGAAACTGAGGGGGTGGAAACAGAAGTGGCTTGCTAGGCCTCCCCCCCCCCCCCCCCCCCTCGTTGGGAGTTTTGTTGGAGGAAGATATCAGTTTGCTGGAAGTCGTTTAAAATGACAGAAAGGTATGGCCTCACTATTCTGGAAGGCTAGAAGTCCTAAGCCAGGGGGTCACAGGCCCATGCTGTCCTGGGGGGCTTCCGGGAGAAGCCTTCCTGGAGTCATCTAGCTTGTTTGGCGGCCATCCTTGGGGTTCCTTGGCTTGTAGATGGCCATCTTCTCCCTGTACCCCATCTTCCCTTTGCGCGTTTCTATCTCTGGGGCCAGATGTCCCTTTTCAGAAGCACACAAGTCATATTGGATTAGGGCCAGCCCCACCCATGGCCTCATTAATGGGATCACTGCTGTAAAGGCCCTATCTCCAAATAAGGCCACATCCTAATATACTAGGGGGATTAGAATTTCACATCTTTTTGCGGGGAGATACAAGGTAACCCATCATAGAGACCACATTGTAGAAAAGATAATGTTTGGAAGACTTGTAACAACATACCCATGAACTGTGCTCGCTAGTGGGCCACACCATCCTGAGGATCCAAAAAAGTTATGAGTCTACAAAGGTATGAGAATAACACAGAAACTACTATGATGAGGAAAACTACAGTGTGATTTTAATAAGGAACGTTAGCATTTTAACAACCAAATTACATCCTATTCACTATATCTGATGTTTTTCTGTGATCACTAATATAAAAAATAAATACAGGATGAGACCATAAATATCCAGAATATTTTTTGCTAAAAAACACATCAAAGGGTAATTATTATGCTACTAAACAGATGATCATAGAACTCTCTTATATACTAAATACTTAGAACTCTTTTATAGATTAAATACAGGGAACTTCATACTATAAACATCCACAAAATCAGCTTCACACCCCTTTTCAGAAACTCAGCCATTTGTTACATAAACGAGGCCGCCCCAGCTTTTGCCCTTCACCACCAAAAAGGGCCTTCAGTCTTTGGGGTTTTACTAGGCCGTTCCTGGCCCTTCAGGTATCGGTCCCAGAAGGCACCGCTTCAGTTCAGAAGCACAAGACAGTGTCCAGAGAAAAGATAGAACTGGAGAGAAAGAGGGGCACAGTGGGCACACTCTTACTATAGGAGTCCTCTTGTGTTTGGGTCTTAAAGTGTACCATCCCCGCTGTGTGAAACGGATCTGAGACAAACAGCCCTGAACATTAAAAAATAAAATAAATAAAGCAAAGATATTATCCTGTGCAGAAGCCCTTCCTCAAACAAGACAAAGAGCAATAGGCTCCCAGCCACAACAACAGGCTCCTCACAAAGCGAATAGTGTTGCTTTGTTGCCCCAGAGAGAACAGCTGGGAGGCTGCCGAGCTGGGAGGGGAGACCCACCATGTTGGTGTCCGTGTAGTGAATGAGCGTCTCCTGGAGGCCGTTGTAGAGGATGATGACGACGGGATGCACCAAGTAGCAGGCGTAACTGATGCTGGCCAGGAAGCTCCACATTCCGCAAGCAAGCAGTTGGTTCACCAGACCTGCAGGGAACAGGCCTCGAGAGTCATCGCTGCGCCTGCTCTCCTCCAACTCCTAAACCAGCTTCATTGGAGAGGCTGCACATTTTCCTCCCAGAACCTGCATTTGTTCATAAGCCGGTGTAAAATCCCAAACAGAACATGTGGGGTTTTCCCAAGGATACAGACGAGTGGAGCTTTCAGATCCATTCACCAGCAAACCAAAGCCCCTCTGTGCACAGGGTTTTCACATTTGTCACCTTTAAAGGGCCAGTGTGAGCACACGAACATCATACCTCCATAGCCTTCGTGACAGGCGAACACGACCCAGCCCACGGCCACCGCCCACAGGCTCCGGTGCACGGCCTGGTAGACAGCAGCGGCCACTGAAGGGGTGGCAGAGGTGTCGTCCACTGCGTACGCCACAGCGACCACGGCGAACAGGCCGGACAGGGAGCAAATCCACCCGAGCAGGGCCTGCACCTACAGGGCAGGGAGCGATGCCGCTCACAGCCCACTGGGGCACCACGCGTTTCCTTCTCTACACCAACTTCCTCTTTTTGTACTCTTACTGTCACGTTAGGTGTCTACTTATAAACCTCAATCAGTACCCACATTTGACTAAATGGAAGGTTCAGATTAGTGGTTGTGAGGGTTAGGTTGGGGCGGGGCAGGGGAGGCGGGTGGCCATGGAGAGGCGGCACAAGGCAGGTCTTTGTGGTGACAGAGGAGTCCCGTGCCTTGACTGTGGTGGTTGGTGGTCACACAAACTCATACACGTGCTACAACTGCACAGCCCTGTCATACATAAGTGAGTGCCCAGGACGCCCAGGATCGAAGGCCCCTGGATGTACCCATGTCGGTTTCTTGGTTGTGACGATGGACTATAGTGGGGGAACTTGGGTCAAGGGGACACAGGACCTGCACTGTTTTTGTTACTCGCGACGGCTCTCAGATCATGTTTAAAGGGAAATTAACTGAGAAAAGGGGGCTCACCTTGGTTTTGAGAATGTTTGCCTGCTGGTTTTGGTGCATGAAAAGGCTCAGAAAGACGCCCACAAGGAATGGCCCGATTCGGCAATAGGGCTTAGTGTAGTACTCCGAAAAATACAGCACAGTCACATTTTCACTAAATAACATAAGGAAATAAGACAAAAGGCTAAGTTTGATCTGGACCTGAAAAGGGGAGTCTCTCAGATGCCCATTGAGTCCATCAGCCGACCCAAAGTGAAATTTGGGGTACCTTTGTTCATCTCCTAAGTAACGACCCACACAGGGACCTCATGGTCCTGCTGTGGGCCACAGCTGCCTTGCTAAGATTCCAAATTGCCGTGGGCCCCTCCTCCCTGGATCCCAAGGAAATATGACAGTGGTCTTCATTTTCAAGAGTTGTTTCTGGTGGCTGGTAGGTCAGGATGACTCGGAAAACATGGTTCTCAGAAGTGAGCCTCTTCTGAAAGAAGTGAATCCCTTCCTGGGAGCTCGTACAGAATTCAATTGCCTGGGCCACACCCCAGTGATTCCATTGGTCTGAGATAGCCCTTTCTGGGAGAATCAGTGGGAATTAAGAGGCCCCAGGGGACTCCCATGTCCCTCATGTGCATTCAGAGCTGAGAACCACTGGGGGAGAGAGGGCAGCCTCCTCTCGGTCTCCTGGCCACACCCACAGAGGACAGTGACATGACGGAAGGGAATGATGCCCCCCTAGTTAAAAGGCCTAGGGTGTCTGGCCAGTGTGGCTCAGCAGTTGAGTGTTGACCCAGGAACCAAGAGATCACCAATTCAATTCCTGGTCAGGGCACATGCCCAAGTTATGGGCTCATTCCCCAGTAGGGGTCATGCAGGAGGCAGCTGATCGATGATGTTTCTGTCTTATAGATGTTTCTATCTTTCTATTCTTCTCCCTTGCACTCTCTCTAAAAATCAATAAAGGGAAAAAAATTTAAAGGCCTATGGGGTAGTCATTCATCCCACCCACAAATTCATATTGAGCACTTATGTGCAGGGGTTGGTTCTGGGCTATTTGACATCAGGTGGCCAGCGAACACTGCTCTGAGAAGGTGACATGTACACAAACACCTGCAGGAAGTGACGGAGCAAGCCCTGCCAAGATCTAGATTCTAAAGGAAAAGCACTCCGGTGTCAGGGAACAGCAAGTGCAGAGGCCCTGAGGGGGGAGCATGGCTGGCGTGTGGAGGTAAGGAAGTCGGTGTGGCTGGTCCAGCATCGGCAGGTAGGGGAGTGAGGGGTGAGTCAGGCAGGGATTCTGCTTTGAGAGAATGGACGGTGATTGGGGGAACTTGAGTAGATGGCTGACAGGGTCTGATTTTCATTTGCATCACTGACTGCTGCACGGAGACTAGATCGGCAGGTAATTGCACCCGTTTATCCTGTGTAATACACAGGGTGGTCATAAAGACATCCTTCATTAGGGAAGCAATATAGCCTCGCGTGTAGGGTCCCAGGTTCAGCTCACACCTGTGCCGGTACTAGCTGTGTGACCTTGAAGGGGTAACCCCAACTTCCTCAAGTTTCAGACTCTCCAACAACAGAACCCCCCAGCAGCAGTTGGCCACTGGAGGAAAAACACAAGACAGCCACGTGGGGGCGCTCCTTTCCTCCGAGAAGCACTTCAGCGGCCAGAGGACCCTGGGCAAGTTGAAAGGTTCAGAAGATTGGAAACAAAAGTGCCATCAACTTTCCCATCCGGGCTGAACACGCCCCGCCCGGTTTTTCCACACGCCGCTGTGCACAGGGCACACAGCCTGGCATTCGCCCCCCAGTCCTCCCTGGGAGGTCCTGGCGTGCCCAGGCCGGGCAAGGCGCAGAGCCGGGGCGGCTGGGAACGGTTACCTTGCTTCTGACGGAGCTGCCACGGGGAGGTCATGAGCCAGTGTGAGCAAAGCAGTGGCAGTGAAAGATGCCAAGAACAGCGCGGCTCCGAGGAGGACAAGGACATGTTTACTTCTGCAGAGAAGAGGGGACATTGACAAGAGTGCTCTTCAGTTTCCTTCACTGCAGAATCTGTGGGCAGGAAAGACTTGCAACCCTGGCAAAGGCGAGGTCTGCCTTTGAGAGAGGCTGGCATGGGGCAGCTGAGGCTGAGGGGGCCTGAGGGGGGCGAGAGGTCTATTTACTTAAAAAATAAAATAATCTAGGGAAATGCTTGTGTCATAAAACCATTAAAAGGAAGATACTAAAGTGTAGGTGCAGAATCCTTTCATGCATAAGAAGCTGAGCAGAAAAAGATCAGAAGGACAAACACCCAAATATGGACAGCGAATTCACGTCTCCTTGAGGGAGGAATCGGGTCCAGGGCAATTGTGTTCCCCTCTCTTCATCCTAATGTTTTCTCCAATGTCCTTATTTTTTTTTTTTTAATCTTCACCCGAGGTTATTTTTTCCATTGATTTTTAGAGAGACAGAGGAAGGGAGGGGAAGAGACAGAAAGAAATATGTTTATCCTGTGTAATAGACAGGGTGGTTATAAGGGAGAATTGTTTGACATGCTTCATTAGGGAGGCAAAATTGCGTAGTGTGTAAGGTCCTAGGTTCAGCTCACACCCATGCCACTTACTAGCCATGTGACCTTGAAGGGTTAACCCAAATGTGTCTCTCAAATCAATGTGTGAGAGAGAGACATCAATTGGTTGCCTCCTGCATGTCCCCGACCAGGGCCGGGAGCCTTCAACCCAGGTACATGCCCTTGACTGGAATCAAACCCGGGACCCTTCAGTCTGCAGGATGACACTCTATCCATTGAGCCAAACCGGCTAGGGCCCAATGCCCTTATATTTAACAAAAGAGAAGAATACATCTTTTAAAATGTGGCATGGATAATGAACACACCATCAGTTTCTCTGTGAATGACTGAAGCCCTAGTTTAGAGCTTTTCTAAAACTAACAAAAATTCAGGTGATAAATCACCCACGTGGAGAAGCGGGCACACGTATGGATTGCTTGGGGTGCTGTAAATTCCTTCCCTCTTTCCAGAGAGCCATCTCCTGGTATGTCACAAAATTGTTCCTACCCTTTGACATAGTAATCCCACTTGCATATATGTCCCCAAGGAAATAACTAAGAGAAAGAGTAGTGTGCTCCAAGGAACTCGTTGTCATCCATAGTCATGAAGAATTGGAAACAATCTGGATGCCCTAACCTTCAAACTGGCATTTCATCCTAACACTGACAAGTATGCAGGTCATGCCAACATGTGGAAATGTTTATATGAAGAGTTACATGGATAACGCTGAGCACGAGATGTTGCACACACATTGACCATAGCTCTGCACAAACACGGACTGCTGTGCGTAGGACCAAGATTGGGGGAGAAGGTAAACAGTGCAGGATTTCATGCTGCAAACTCATCTGAGAAGTTGTTATCCCAAATTTTAAAAGCTGCTCTCCCCAGACCTGGAGCACTCTCCTGGAATTTTGTGGGAAAGGGCACAGAGGGAGGAAACATGTCCCACAGACTCACTTTCCATGGATGAAGATGATGACCGGCGTTGTGAGGTGGAAATGGAAGTCATTGGCAAGGTACCACGTCCAGCCGTTGCACTGGAAAGAGAGCGAAGGTTACTTCTCTCGGTCATTTACCAGGTCTGCCTCCCACCGTCTGTCCGCCTTCCTGGACCCGGAGAGGAGTTCAGTAGGCAGGTGGGGATTTCCATGGAAGAGAGAGGAATAGTGAGTTACAGGAATCTCACATACCTCATCTCATCTGATCTTTGTAATAAGCCTGTATGGTAGGTTCCAGTTTACAAAATGGAAATTGAGTTTTCTCTATTGTTTACAAAAGAAAACAATAATATCGAATCTCTTAGGACAGCTGTGGGAACGAAACTGTATCGTGTTACACAGATGCAAGGAATAATTACTGTTATGGTGCGGTTGGAGTCAGGCTCGTTGTTGTTCTCTCCTCTGTGCCTCTCCCCCCTTCCCTCCCCCACTCTAGAAGGAGAGAATGTGTCCTTTTAGAACGGAGACCTGGCTCCAGACGAGTTATGTGGGAAACACAGGGTTCCCACGCATGACTGACATGAGATCGTCTGGCCAAAGCCACATCTTTCATCACTTACCTGTCTGTGTGAAATGAGGCTGCTACCTGTACTTCTTCTTCAATGTCAGGACATTCCTGGGGCATCCTCTCCAGCGCTTCAGCGATTAAGGGCACCTTGGTCTCCCTCCCACCCCCTCTGTCCAAGGGAGACCAGATTCACCCAACAGAAGCGACAGCTTTCCTGTCCCGCCTGGAGACAAGTTCCCTGGTGGGGAATTTGCAAGGCCCTCACACCTCTGCTTCTAAGACCTAGGGCGGGTTTCACCTCTGAGAGGTGACTGGCTGGTGTCTTTGTCACTGATTCCCACACATGGCCCAAGCCAGTCTGCAGCTAGGAAAACAGCCCAGGCTCTCTGTCCTCCATGGGGCCTGGCACAGACCTGGGCCCACCTGAAGGCAGTTGGGTGGTGATACATGCCCGTCGAAGCTGCTGGGCACTTGCGTATCGAGGGCAGCTTCTAATTGGAAAGTGTTTATGTGCGTGATTAGCCCCACGCTAGGGCTTCTTTCTTCAACTGCACTTCCAAGGCACATGCCACGTCAGTGGCACGATTTCATCACAGCCGCCTCACTTGCATTTGCTCCCAGGTCATCGTGGGTGAATTAGGGCTTTAAGGAAGCCAAAAGCAACGCATACAAATGTTGCTCGGTCAGACCTGGCTTGAAATGGAATGGAATGCATGATGGTGAGGGCGCGGTGCAATGTTCCACCCGTTACAGGCTCTCCGTGTGGAGGTGAAGAAACTGTCCTTTCCCCCCGGGGCAGCATGGGCTGGACAGGAACCGGGATGGGGCAGGGTCACCTGCGTTGCGGACATGCACCTGGATGGCTGGCCCCTCGGCGCCCACTACCCTGCTTCCTCCCCCTGCTTCTCCCAGCGACTGCCCTGCCAAGGCCGGTGCAGCCACCACCCTCCATCACAGGAGATGCCTCCCTGCCCACAGCCCACCTCCCTACAGCATCACCAGTACTCCCGAAAATAGGCCAGGAGGAAGGGGACCAGACTCCTCAAGGTGGCCCTCGGGAAGACACTGCCTTTGTGCCCATCCGCCCTTTGCAGCCAACACTCGGGACTCACCGCCTTCTGGACCAACAGGAAGTCATTGAGCAGCAGCAAGTTCGTCCACCACGCTTGACGGCAGTTGTCCAGGTGGAGCTTAGGCACCTCCCAGACAGGTCCCCAGGGAGCCAGGGAGAACAATCCAACCAACAAGCACACGGAATACAGGTGAAGAGGCTGCAACCTGGTGGGAAAGAGCCAGGCGAGAGAAAGTGACTCCACAGTGCTCCCGTTCAGGAAAGGCGGGACTCATAGGCATGGGGATAGGAGCCTCTAAGACAGTTCGTACTGGGTGGGCCACCACCTCCCACCCACACCTCAAACACCCGTGGATTCAAAATCATTTCTTGAGCACCTATTATGTGCTGGCACTGGTGCTGCTGATGCAAAACACTGTCCTTCATTGAGCAAGTCGTACAGGTCAGCCACCGAGCTAGGAACTTTGTAGATATTCCTAAACCTCAAAACTCCTATCAGGTAACTGTTACCTCTGTTTTACAGATGAAGTGGTAGCTCAGAGAAGTTCACCTGGCATCAGCCCCTCTGGATGAAAAGACCTTCCTCCACCCCTCTTCCCCTCTCTCCCTTCCTGGATTTATTTCTTCCGTCCTCCCCTCATACCCTTCCTCCTTCCAAGCGGATCTGAAGCAGCCACACAGATGATGGATACGGCACCCAGTGTCTAGACCAGCACGTTCAATAGAAATAGAATTCCAGCCACATCTGCCCCCGAGGTTCTATTAGCCACATTTTTAAAAGTCAAAAGAAACAGGAACAATTCATTTTAATAATATACTTTATTTAGCCCAATAAATCCACATTCTTCTCATTTGAACAGGTAACCAATATAGGAACTTATTGGGTTACTTCACATCCTCTTTTCTTTTGCCAAGCCTTTAGATTCCGGTGTGTGTTTTCCACGGGCAGCGTGTCTCAAGGGGCCAGGTGTCTGGTGGCCCCAACGGGACATGCAGTCTAGAGTTCCCACGGGAGGCTGTGCAGAGGGGTGGGCTGCGGTCAGAGACGTCCTTTTAAAAAACGCATTGAAAACTTCCTGGTAATGCAAGGAGGGCAGAGCACATGGCCTTGCAGCACCTCCATCGCCTCGGTGGGGTGTCAGGGCTGGGTGGGTGTGACAGATGGGAAGGGCAGGACTGCTGGAGGTGCACCTGTGGGCCTCCTGTCCTCCCCACAGTGATAAAATCCCTCATAGGGAGTGTCCGGGAGGGCAGTGGGCATGCGGGGAATAGGGCTGGAATTGCTGATCAAAGTCAGAGAGAAAGAGCACTGGCCTGTGCCAAGGGGCATCACCCAGGGCAGCTCAGACGGCAGCCATGAAGCCCTCCCTGGGTGCTGGGCACTGCCAGGGTCAGCCATCAGACCCGCTGCCCAGCAGCTGCTCCCACGGGCCTCCCTTCCCGCCATCTGTCTCCTCCCTTCCCCCAAGGAGAGTAAGTTAGCCCTCTGCTCCCCTCAGAGGCAGAGCTCGGGTCAGATGTCCACAGGAGGGAGGGTGGGACCAACTGTGTCCCTGCCCGTTACACAGCCCTCCCTGGGGTGCTGGTGCAAACACAGCCTCTGGGCCGGGGCTGTGGGGCAGAGGCTTCGGGGTGGGCCGTGGCTGGAGAGGCGAGGCTTTAGGGGAAAGGACAAGAAGCATGTGCTGTGGTTTGTCTACATTTTTCTCACTGAGAAAATCACATCACTCCCCTCTTTCCTCTTCTACGGAAAACACAGGTGATGATTCCTTCAGCGCTTTGAAGGAGGAGGAGGATTTCTGCCTCCTAAGATTTTTCTGAGAATTAAATAAGATCAGTAAGAAAATAGTTTGAGATATTGAAAGTGTCATATAAATGTACACAGGCTTTGTTTTTTCCAAACTTCCAGAGGATTGCAAGTCAGAGTAGGTTTTCAAAGCCTAAACCGCAATACTAGCCATGGGTGTGGAGAGCTGAGGAGCAGGGTTCTCAGACCTGGTGGGTGGGAAGGTGAACCGGAAAACGTCCACCAAGATGTTAGCTGCACCAAACCAGCAATTGCACTAGTAGGAATTCACCTGCAAACATCCTATATAATAAAAGGCCAGCAACCATAAGTGTAACGACCGGAATGACTGCTCAACCAGTTGCCGTGAGGTGCATTGACCACCTCTCAGTTCCTTTCCGCCCCCCTTCCCCTACCCCCCCACCCCTACAGGCTCCAATTGCAGCATGGCGAAGAGGGAAGCATGGGCAAACCAAGGTGAGTGGCTGTGGGGCAGGACTGGCAAGCGGGTGTACGGCAGACCTCTTGGTCCCTCCCCCGAGCCCTCAGGCTCCAGGGAAGCGGAGCCATGCTGCAATCAGAGAACAACAGCAAATGGGGTAGGGGTGGGGGGGCAGCAGCAGAGAGGGACTGGGGACTGGCGAGCGGCAGAAGATGGCCCTGATCTCAGGCTAGCCCTAGGGACCCTACTCGCACATAATTTTGTGTGCTGGGCCTCTAGTGTTCATATAATTGCACACATATGCACATGCATTGTATCATTGTTTGAAATAGCAAAAAACTTGGAAATGACCTCCAGTGATGGGGACAGGTCATGTGCATGATGGTCTACCCACACAGTGCCATCCCAGGCCACCTTTAAAATCAGTGAGGCGGGTCCTTGCATGCAAATAGAGGTGTGTGCCAATGTTAATCATGAAGTGGAAAGAGCTACATGGGAA